GCCCACTTTTTCCTCGGCGGTCTTCGGTGTGGGGTTGCTTTTTCCTCTGCTCTTAAGAGTGTAGTAGTTGCAATTATGCTTCCTAACCGAGCTTAGCATTGAAATGTCACGGATTTTGAATGATAAGCGATATTTGGAAATTGTGGTACTTGATACATGAGAAGCTAAAAATTTTGAAATTGTGGTATCTGGGAATTTTTTTTGGTCTTGCGAGATCTTGACACTTTTGGGATCGAAGAGTTAGAGTAAACATGTAACTTGATTGCGCAGACTAGGTGAATTACTCTTATGTGGTTCTTGAATAAAGGATATGGATATGAAAACCTTTCATTAGCGGGTCGAAGCCATACGCATAAGCGTATAAGTGAGCTCGCAAAGAAATTAGTATTTGATGTATGTAATATTCTGACTTCAGGAGAGATGGAGAAGTTATATATTCACAGTGGATTCCATATCTTGCTGTGTCCAGCGGAAATGTGTATTACGCCTAAAAATATCGTCTGTTGGGTTCCCTGCTGCGACGTGTAATCCTGACTTCGTGAGCCATGGAAGAGTAATATCTTCACAGTGAATTCCATATCTTGCTACAGCCAGCTGAAACGTAATCACTAGTTTTCAAAATCTCAGTCATTGGTTTTCAGAGCTGCTATTAAATTGAAGCATGACTATAGGAAGAATTTGGGTATCAATGGACAGCCAGCCAATTGGTACTCTTCTGTTTTGAGGGCCGTAAAAAAATTGCAGCGAAAATGTATGCGCAAAAGCGCCAAATCTAGCAAACGTGCCCATTTAACAGCGTGCCAAATGTAGCGTACGCGCTGGTTTCAGATTGCGTAAGTTTATATGGCTCTATGTATATTTCTTTAAGACGCCATTGAAATACCAGTTTAATTTTTAAATCCTATTTTGAGATCCTATGGATTTAGCAATTTGGGAATTGCCCATGATGAAAAGTCGGTAATAGAATTTTGGGTAAAGTACAGAATCACTCACTGCTTGACGCGTTTTTAAGAATTGCACATACTCGGTATCCATGTGCACATCGACCTATTTTCACTTAAAAAAATCCCAGAATTGCACAAAAATGGCACTGTGCACCCCCTTGACATTATCTATGTACACATCGACCTATTTTCATTTAAAAAGTAAAATAAAATTGACCAAAATCCAATTGTTTTTACCATTGTAAAAAGCGGTAAACTAATAAGTGAGCGATTCTGCACTTCTGAATTCCAATTCTGAGTATTTTCAAAGAAAAGGCATCGTTCATTATAGAAAATTACGTTTGAACAACCAACGAGATGAAATTATGATTTAGCAGTTATGTTTAGCAATTTTTATATAAATTATAATAATGATCTGAAATAGTTATTTACTCTTATGCTTCCATTCAGTCATGTTTAGCCTTTTTCATATAAAATACAATAATAAAAAAGTATTATATGAAATTAACCTTTCATCTACATTAAAACATCAATCTTAAAGAGTTATTTACTATTATACTTCCTTTCTTGCCGCAATTATTAGGGTTGCCGCAATTATTTTTGGCAGCATTGGCATCAAAAATAGTTTGGCGATTTTTTACAGCCCTCGAGACCTAATAGTACCAGCCAATTTTTTTGACCTTCTAAGCTACTACAGAGCTCCAGCTTCGCGAAACTGCTGCGAACTGTTTCCTGTTAGATAAGTCAAAATTTTTCTTGTTTTGTTCTCATGTTTAGTATAGAAATTTTTAAATTCACTTACTTTTGCACATAATATGAGTAAAGTTTAAATGGGCTTGAAATGAATGATCAGTTTGAGTTTCTCTTCAATGTCCTCTTCCTGAAATCATTAATAAAAAACATGAAGCCAGGGGATGGTCTTTTATTGAAATATCAGTAACTGTAATACATTATGTTTGGAAATTAATTTTTATTGTGGTGAAATGATAAATGTCATATTAATAATGTAAGGATCGGTTCTGTACCAGGCAAAGAAAACATAAATTTTGGATTACCCCTGCTTATGTTATGAATAATAATGATTTCTCAATATGCGTAAATTTTGCTCGCTTTTGCATGTTACTTATTAACCGTATAACTGTAAGGTGAAATAAAAATGATTAACTGGCAGAAAAACAAGGTACAGAAACTAAAGGTTATATTACTACATATGTTGAAACCTGGTTTTCTTTTAATATAAGTTCTTTTTGTTGTTTATCAGTTATTTGTTTTTATCAGTTAGCCAATAACCTAAGGCCTAACATTTTGTTGTTTATCAGTTAGCCAATAACCTAAGGCCCTAAACTGAATAAAAGAAATAAATGGATTAAAATGTTCTATGCTTTATATGTTTTTTACCTCTTGATCATGCGCTATAATCGTTCACAGTGTTGGAAGCAAAACAACGCAGTGACTTCTTAACAGCGATCTTAAATTTGAACTTTTGTGAAAACGGATTAGGAGTTAAATTAGAGGTAGGAAGAATGTCCCTTTAGGGTTAAGTAATTTTTACACATTTTAGTTTATTTTAATAAGTCACTACCGTGATGGTATTTTACTTCAGTACTGTACCGGTACTGAACAAATACATTAACGGAACACAGGCCGTCTTAAATACTGATATATGCGAAAATCGTTTAACTTTGTAGTAAAACTGTTTCCCAGTTAAATCTACATAACCTCTAGAATGAAAGATTCTTGTTGCGAAATAAGGCAAATAAGAGAGATTTAAATTAAATAACATTTCGTTAATAAAACTTAAATATAAATTCCACAGCATAACTATAATCATGATACAATAACACGCCAAACAAATATTAATTTAGAAGTCAAACAACCAAAATCAGCGTTAAATTTTCAAAATTTCACAGATTTTTTTTTCTGTGAAAATTTTAAAATAAAGCTCTGTTTTTTGTTGTTTGACCTCTAAATTAATAACTATAATCATTTAATGATTTTCAATTGGACATTTGCTCAAGAATTTTCGAAATCATTCTTATTTTACTCAACGTTATTACAACAGACATTTTCATTCTCAGTATTTCTACTCAGATAGAAAATTTGCTCTTAAAATATTTTCAATTTAACATCTTTAGTTACATTTCACTTAAATTGATATAGTTCGGAGTTATAAAACTTGAGGTGCAATTTAAACACAATAACAGAGAATGAAGGCAAAAATAAATAATTTAAGAGAGAATTTTCAATATATATATATATATATAAAAAAAAAAAAAAAAAAAAAAAAAAAAAAAAAAAGCCTTTTCACTCAATGGTTCCCATTTTAATCCACAATTTATAATTTCAGTGGCTGGGAATCTTCCAAAGCGAGACAATAAATTACACAAAATTTCATTTCCCGCAATTTTATAATGTCATATATAATATATTTACGTTCTACGGTTTCGTGGAATTGGAGTGATTGATGACAACACTTGATTAAGAAACAAACACAATTTATTTGTCAGTATTTCACAAGACAGTTCCAAAGACGCATTGCAGTCGTCGCAAAAACTATGACAAACAAGCTTTTTAATCAGCACAGCCTTTAGGATATAAAGGTGACGACAGCTGCACGGCAAAGCATTAAATTACAACTCCCGACTCGATTAACCGCTCTTAAACTAATACCTGAGCTCAAAACACTTAAGATAAAGCTGCTATTCCGCCGCGTACAAGCAGGGTTTATGTAGTTTTTGTCTTTTCTTCGAGAACATTCTGGGGCAAACCGGTAAGAACTCGCTCCAGAATGTTCTCGCTCCGTCTATTGCATATCTTAAATTTTGACCCCAAATATCGCCAAATGGGCAATTTCCCGCTTAACCTGGGAACACTGCCTTTCCTGGCCGTTTTCTGGCAATCCTAAACCCGTTTTGCGGAGAAGCTATATTACCGCAGCTGGACATTTCATAATAATATACATTTTTTAAATGGCATTAACTTGGATACCATGATCCAGAGATCCAGAAAATTAATTGCGCTGTATCTTAAAATTAGACTATTGTAGTTTTGAAGTCCGGCTTTGAATTATATTAAATTCTGGGCATTGCGATTTGGGATAGCTACATGAGTGAAAGACGAATTCAAGCTACAACGGATGGTGGCGTCCACATGCAAAAGGTGGCGATCATTTGCCCGCAGGGCTCCTGCCTAGGTCCACTTCTGTGGAACCTGGTAGCAAACACCGCGCTCAACCTGTTTAATGATGATGAAACATCAGAAATAATAGCGTATGCTGACGACTTCTTACTAATAGCAGAAGGTCATAGCTGTAAAAGTTACGAAGTAAATTCCCAAAAAGCGTTAGACAAAATAGTCCGCTGGGCCAGTGAACATAAGCTAACAATTTCAAAAGCAAAAACAAAATGAATGCTAAATACCCCAGGAAAAAGGCACGAGCGTACCCTGTTCGTAATCCTTCATGGCAGAAACATAAAATTTGTGAGACATTTCCGCTACTTGGGTGTGATTATAGACGACAGTTTCTTCTGGCTCCCTCACATCAAGCATCTTAAACAAAGGCTGCATAAATTGTCTAATACAATGCGGAGAACAGCTGGCGCTAGCTGAGGTGACTCCTCGCAGATGCTCAAAATATGCTATGCCACAGTCGCTGAGAGCATAGCTCTTCATGGCGTTTACTATAGGGCGTCAATGTCACGATTAACGTGCAACATGCATTGAACTCCGCGCAAAGACCATTTCTTCTGGGCATCTGCAGAAGATTCCGTACCTCTCCTACAACTGCATTAAATGTATTGGCTGGGCTTCCGCCCCTGCACTTGATAGTACAGAGCGAGAGTGTTGTGGTGAGAGTGATCAGACTAAAACAAGACGTTACTATTTGGAGTAAGACTTATGTATCCTCGGACTACGAGAATCATATTTCCCATTCTCCTTGCCACCCTGGACTTCGAGATAGAAGCAAATTGTAATCCTCCAAGTGCATTACAATCCTTAGCCGTATATACTGACGCCCCCAAATAAGAACTCGGGACTGACAGTGCCTGGTGTGCAATGGAGGGTGACCACACCATCCATTTCCGGGATAAGAAGTTTCATCCCAGTAACTCGGTGTTTCAGGCAGAACTTACAGCCCTAAAGGCAGCTCTGGACTTTACTGCTAACAATGGCAGATATAAAGTAATTTACACAGACTCAATGTCAAGCTTGCAGGCTATCCATGGCTGCCGCAGTAGACATTCCATTGTCAGAGACATACAAAAGCTATTAATTTCGATTGATGCAAGTCTGAGGCCCCAACTACAATGGGTTCCAGCCTATACGGGGATTAAAGGAAATGAAGCAGCCGATATGATTGCGAAAGCCGCAGCCAATGAACCTCACGTGAGTAGTATTGGTGTGCCCCATCCGAACTCGTATCTGAAAACTACTCTCAAATGTGAACTAATGAAGCAGTGGCTGGCAAAACTACTGGGAGAGAAGCACCACAGGCGACAAGCACTATGAGAGCACTATGAGAACGGAGTTTGGGAGACAAGCACTTTGAATTCTAACCAAAAGTTAACCACAATTTAAATAGTAGCTCACACAGTATCTGACAGGGCATGGCCCATATATGTCCTATCTTCACAGATTTCGCCTAAGAGACAGTGACCAATGTATTTGTGGCAGTACTGGTGAACCAGATCACTATCTGTTTGACTGCTCGCACACAGGAAATTTACATTTAAACAGACCAACTGCAATCAATATGCCGCCATGGTTCAAGAACACAATTAAGAATAAATATGCGCTCAGCCGCATTAGAGACTGCACTAATATTGCTAAAAGCATTGCTGACAGCCTGGAGTGACTTATTTCTTTGAACACCGTGCGGTCAGTATCCCGCTCCGTACATATATTAATTTACTTAATGTCTTGTGTTTTTTATTTGTTTTGGTTTTTGCTCTTTTTAATTATATTTAATATTATGATTAATCCAGAACTCATTTAATGTATTCCACAATTTGTGATGTATTTGGTCATCTTTACATCTGTACCTGATTTTATAGCACATCCTTAATATAACTGTATGCGTAACATGTAAGATAATAGTGAAAAATGTTCCGCTTAGTCTGAGCCGTGTCCACCATGCACCTTCTTTCCATGTTCTGGTCCTTACTTCAATGTTCCTCGTTTCGTGGTCAATCCCGGAGGAACAGTAGTAAGCTCTTTATTTATATTTATTCATGTATTCATTTTTTATTCCATCGACGGAATCCAACAGGCTGAAAAGCACCTAACCCAGTGGGCCAGCTGTTCCGTCGATGGCGCAAAGAAAGAAAGTGGTGGTGGATGAATATTTATCCATGACCAAATTTAGAGAAATAGGTTCACTGGTAGTATAACTTGAAGTAATATATTTTGGACAATTAATACTGGAACCAGGTAAATAGGAAACCTAGTAAAATCATTCTATCTTATGAAATGGAAAACTTGAAATTATACCTTGCATTAAAGCGATAACATGAGTTTGAACTATCCTATCTAGGAAATGGAAATCTTGAAAATATTTCTTGCATTTACACGTTAATATAAGCTTGGAGTTATTGAAATTAAGTTATACGGAAAATAAATCCAATTTATAGAGTCTTATACTTTGAACTGACAGTGACATTCGATATTTTTTTAAGGAAATTCTAGTGTATCAGTAATAATTTTGTGTTCTAAATGTTATGCGGAACCTCGCTTTTATTTCTGGCGAAAATATCTGTCTGTATTTTTAAATTTATGGTAAGTAAGTAAAGCAAATTTTGAAAGAAAATTGTTTCAGACGTAGAGAAATATGTCACGTACTTCCCTTTTAAAAGATTGCAGGCAGCCTTCTTATTTGTTGATGTTTAGGATAAAACTTCGCTTTTTGGAAGAGATGTTACTTAATTTCCGTTATGAAGATGCTTAGTTTTTTTTCTCGGAGATCCGTTTTGAAATGCAGTGTTTTAGAAAAGATATTAGACATGCTTAAATAGCAATCAAAATCCGGGTAAGTAAATTTTTCGTTAACTGAAGTAATGTCTTAAGAAATTATTTCTTTCACTTTTGAGCACTTATATAAAGAACCTCTTTATAATTATATGAATGTTATACAGTTATTGGAAATAAAGAACATCATTAGATTAGCACAATAATATTAAGGTAAAATTAAATTATATTAATCTTAAATCAATATATGATATTTTTTCACTCGCAACTAAAAAAATAATGATCATTAAATTTTATTTAAATACCGTAAAAATAAGCTAAATGTTGGATTGTTGCAAATGAAACAATCGTTAAATGACGTCAGGTATCTCCTAGTTGTAAAAGCAAGCAAAGGCTGAGGTTTTATCAAAACTCAGAACTTTTTACGTCACAAATGTGTGATGCAATTCGAGCACTTATTTCGCTAAATCAGGGTTGGCTATTAAATACTGCCAATATCATGTGAGTCAGGGATCTAGTCACTTAAAGTTGCTGTGCGTCCAAACGGAGAAATTTTTCAGAGGCTGCAGTAAAACATCAACAAAATATTTGGTGGAGAAAAGCTTCACTCGAGAAAATACATTCACTCGGCACTGGTTTGCGAAAATTCGCTTGTTAAATTTGAGGTTACAAAACGAACATGTGTCCTTCGCTCTTTCTCCATTGGCTCGAATAATTTCGAGTATTTAACTGAATTAGATCCATGGAAAATTATAGGGGAGATAGCGCAGATATTTGAAAGCACGCCTTTCAGCCGTTTAGTAGCATTTGGTCAAAACAGGAAAAGTAAGGAAACGCAGTAACTGGTTTCGTCACAAGTTCATTGATAGAGACAATGCATGGTGATTGAAAGTGTACTCTTCTGTCTGAAGAAGAGGTAAAGAAAGGATCTTGGGCAACGAATTGTGACTGAGAAAGGAATATTTAATTGTTGTTCGTGCTCGTCATAGGGCTAAGAAGGCATCTTTGTATTCCAAGAAAATGTTATTTAACGTGATCTTCTGCTTGTGTCATTCACTACCCATCCCTTGAACAAGGTGAAACTATAAATGCAGCTCGATGCTGTACAGATATGCAGGAAATATGTAAAAAATTGTGCTTTAAACAAGCTAGGTCTTCTGCGTGAATGTGGAATTCTATTGTTTCAATTAATGCTCGACCACATACAGCAATTTCAAACTGTGAGATCGAGGTTCGATACATACTTCACCAGCTCGATACATACTTTACGAGCACCCAACAAATTACTATTTTCTTCCCGCACTTAAACTAGTCTTGTGCAATAAATAATTTGTCAGCCAAACATTTATTTTTCTGGAAGTAGTGAATTCCGTCAATTACGAAAACAATGCTTGTAACAAGTCCAGACGTTAGCAATAATCCATTAATGCTTCTGAAGATGCCTTTGATTAAGCATGTACTCTTCTTCTTTGTAATCACTTCTTTCTGAGTCGCCCTTAAAATCGGGGGTTTTATGGGACACAATTCAACACTTGACATCCACCACCGAATTATTACAAATTTAAAATTATTGAAATTGTTGTTGGTTTGCCTAATTTTGCTGGTCTGGAAACAGAGTAAGCCTACGAAATTCTTCTCACCAAGGAATAAAGTCTACGTCTGTCTGTGCCATGAGCTTTAAACACCATACAAGGGGGTGTACGACATGGCTAAATTCCTCCCCCAACTTTTAAGGTGAACCCCAGGGAACGGACTGGCCCGAGATGCTCCTACCTTCTTCCATTGCCATCAGTCCTCGAGAGAGCTTTCTGTTCGCCGCATATATTGAGTGCTCTGAAGCTGCACAGACGCTATACATTTCCAAATATCCATGCCTTCTCCGGAATTCCAGCCCAGGTACTTCGGAACAGTCAGTCAGTCATTAACCACTGTTCCGTTTGGGCGGCACTTGAAATTCTTGGTTTGACTATCATTTGTGTAAATTTCATTACCTTGCTCTTCTTGTGAAGGAGGTTCAAAGTTATTGGTCAAGTACCGGCGAACATATTGCGCCAAAGCTACAAATTTTACATTAAAAATTTAAACAATAATTAAAATTGTTCAACAGTTAACGACAACAGTATAGCGACTGTCAAGAGGGACTGCACCAAGAACCGAAATTTGCTTCAACGACAATCAACATCAAAATTTGCAAGTATTTCGACGTCGATTGCCTCACATTTAAGGAGTTTTAATACCTAATTTCTTAATTTGCACTTCTATTATGCATTCATGGACAAAGCTGGAGCAACGGAGTTATGAATGTTGTTTGAAACTCTGTGAATGCAGGCAGGTTATTTTTAGAGCGTAATTTTAAATTATTATTCTCAACTCGACGTTTCAAATTATTTGCTATCGAAATCTTAATAATAGGTGAATAAATAGAAAATTACATTTGCAATTGATTTTTTTAGCAAAATTCTAGTTTAAAACAATTTGTCCACCTTTGCTGTTGCTGTAGTTGTGACTTATCTCACTTGTCTGACAATGACAGTAGAATAAGCAGACGAATTTCTTAGTGGCAAAGAGTGAAAGATTGCGCCTGCCGTTGGCAAGAGTTTTGAGCACCATACAGGTGACAGTACGACTTTGCTCAATTCCGTCGAAAATTTTGTTGAGCAGCACCCGCCGGGGCACAGGTCCTAGGATCTCCCACCCCTCTTTCCCTACCACCAACCTTACGAAGGGACTTTCGGCTCGCCACATATTTAGATATCCTCCATATTGCACAGACATTATACATTTACAAACCTCCGTTCCTTCTCCGGGATTCGAACAAGGATCCTTCGGTACGGCAGTCAGCGTCGCTAACTATCCCGACTGGGCGGCCTGTTTCTCGACATTTATATCATCTTGAATGAAGATCGAAGAATTTACCAAAAATTTCACTTGAATGCAAAATACAGGTTTTATATTATGTGTCTTAAATACCTAAACTTTATAAAAGAAAGTTATACCTATAGTGGTGCTGAAACTATCCATCGATGTCGAAATTAGCAAGCATTTTGATCCCTAATACCTTACCGTTTTACACTGCAAACATATTTTGATGAGAACAATGTTAATTAAATTTCAAGAATGCTTATTAATAAGGAAATACATTAGAATACATTCTCATCGGGAATGACATTAAGTTTAATATCAATAAGAAAGGAAAGACGTGAAGTTCCATTTCTGAAGATTGGGTGACGAGATGAATAATGTTTACATACACCGCCATGTCGAGAGTATGGCACTTAAGTTTGCGATGAGTGCGTTTTGCATTTCAATTCTCTAATTGACAAAGTTCTAACCGCATGCAAAATGTTTCCTCACAATAATCCATCGACACAGAGGTGCTAGACATAGACATTGGTCTCGCTTCGCCATTTCGTTGCAACCGTGAAAGGAATTCTCGTTTAAACACATGGACTAATCACGCTAGTCCAGTTTGCCTTAATGATCAGAGAACCGAATTCCGCCTTCCTCCTCGAATAAATCAAAAGCGAGGGAAAGGACATTTGCAT